GGAACTTCTTTCTTATCAGTATTTATTCAGTTTTATAGGCAAGACTTAACCCATTCCCATGATCCAACGCGAGCGACTGGGAACGAGTCAGCAAATTACATGTGTTCGCAATGGTCTAGCAAACAACGAATTCGATTAAATTTGCCCATTTCAGCGTTTTACCCCCGTTTCAGCGTTTTATCCCCGTTTCAGCGTTTTACCCCCGTTTCAGCGTTTTACCCCCATTTCAGCGTTTTATCCCCATTTCAGCGTTTTATCCCCATTTCAGCGTTTTATCCCCATTTCAGTTTCCGCTTTTATCCCTACCCATATAAAGCTTGACTATTGTCTGACAGTTGAATTGACATTATTTTATAGAACAATATACAGCTAATTCAAAAAAGGTTGTCCTTTGCAATCCTTAAACTGTAAACCTTAAACCCTAAGCGCGCAAAGCATAATGGGAGCACGATTGAAGCAGTTTAGAAAGCATATATGGAGCCCATTTCTTAGAGACAAGGTAATTAAACTATCTCCTTGCGAAAACATTTCACTCACAAACAGCTGCAATATTCAACTACTAAGCTTGAAATCAGTGCTCCCACACGCTTAAAGGTTAAGGTTTAGAGGTTAAGGATTGCAAAGAAGAACCTTTTTTGAATTAGCTGTATAATGCTTGAGTTGACTATTGAGTATTACCCTATATCTATTTTGTTCTTCTGCCCTATATCTATTCTGTGCTATTGCCTAGTGATCCATTAAAATTTTATTTTTGTGACAATTGTTCATACAAAACCAATTGAGAAACTTTTTTATGCGATGATGTTTTTCTCTTTTATACACTGGCAATTATTTTGGAGCCCCTAGTTCTCTATCGATAATTAATGGACGGTACCTTAGGTGCACGCATATAATGCGTGTGTTGTTTTGTGTCTTTTGTATCATGTATGTCAATCCATTGGAGAATTCTCCCCCCCCCCCCTACACGCTACAGTCAATAGTACTTTTACGTTTTACTTCAAGTATTTTTAAGGATACTTTGTACTTAAGTACGTTTTTCCTCTAGTACTTTTTACTCTTACTCAAGTCGTTTTATTGTCAATTACTTCTACTTTTACTCGAGTACAAATTCAAAGTAATTTAGGCACCACTGATTTTTAATGAATCAATAACAGTAGGGGTTTTTCCTGATAGTTTTAAAATCTCTAAAGTTATTCCAGTTTATAAAGATGGCTAGACCAATTTCTATACTTTCTCCTTTTACAAAAGTATTTGAACGATTGGTTTATAACCAACTGACATCATTTTTTGAGAGAATGCTATTCTTTATCAGTATCAATTTGGATTCAGAAAGGACCATTCTACAGAACAGGCAATATTGGAACTAAGTGATCAATTAAAACTAACAATGATAACCAAAATATAACTTGTGACATTTATCTTGACCTATCAAAAGCTTTTGACACCATAAACCACAGCTTACTTCTACAGAAGCTATACAGATATGGAATTCGTGGTATACACCTCTTGTTTGGTTATTTTTTTAATTAACCAGTTATTTAAACAATAGTCATAGAATGCAGTATGTTGAGATTGACTTGTGCCGTTAGGGTAGTACTTATAAAACTAGGTTAACTAAGATAAGAACTAAACAAAATAAGTGTGTGCGATGCATATTTTTTGCAATAATTATTATAACCCAGTAGAACTTTTGACTCTAGATAACATTTTGATAAATTTAGAGTTGCAGCATTTGCTCATAAAATATTAATCCAACAAACTGATATTCCGGAAATATTTTCTCGTTATCTTGAAAGTGTATCAAGTGTTCATTCTTACAATACCAGGTATTCCAAAAATAAAAATTTGGTACGACATAAAGTAAAAACAAATTATGGTATGCAAACATTCAAATTCTCTGTGTCAAAAATTTGGGATTGAAGAGATTCCTCTAAATATTAAGAATTTAGCCTACTCATATTTTAAAAATCAATATAAAAGGATATTACTCAAATCACAAGTTTGATTCATAGTATTTTTATATAATTAATACGCATGACATATTCATTGATCAATATAAAGTTTACAACGGTTGCTAGCCACCGTTGTATGTAAACTTTATATTGATATTTTCAATATACTCTAGCTGCCGTGCCGCGTTGTAAATTGTTCGTGTGACTCTGTAATGTTGTGCATGTTTCTAATTTATGTAACTTGTAATTGGTATAAATAAATGCTGTTGCTGTTGTTGTTGTTGTTGTTGTTGTTGTTGTGGTTGTTGTTGTGGTTGTTGTTGTTGTTGTTGTTGTTGTTGTTGTTGTTGTTGTTGTTGTTGTTGTTGTTGTTGTTGTTGTTGTTGTTGTTGTTGTTGTTGTTGTTGTTGTTGTTGTTGTTGTTGTTGTTGTTGTTGTTGTTGTTGTTGTTGCAGTATAAAACTGCATCTTTTAACTGGATTTATTAGTATGCTACTGCAATATTTCGGAAGTTTGATGATCGAGTATGCGTTGTGCGTTCTTAAACGTAAAGTTAGAAAAGATAATCGATTGATCGTAACTCGTTCTGAAATACTGCATGTATGAAATTCATTTACCAGTTTTGATAGCTCTGTTTGAATGAAGTCTGTTGTTTACTGACATTTTATGCATTTTTAGACATTTATTTATTGAACGAACAATTGAATAAAGAAATAAATTAAATCCCCAAAACTGGAGATTTAATTTATGCAGGAACAAGCCATCGCGCCAAAATTCACAAATCTCTTATGGTAAGGTCTGTGAGTTTCATTGATTTGAGTTTGCGTACGTAGGTCACAGTGGTGTAGTGGAGGGGCCCAGGGGGCTGAGCTCCCTAGTTAAAATTTCATGTTGATTTGACGTTTTGTTGATTTTATATACATAATGCAGCTTCTATTAAAGAGCTTCCCCGAAGATATTTCAAAATATATGTTACCGTTTATAAATATTAGGCTGGTGGCAATATGGAAAATTTAGACCAGGAATCAAAGTCGCATTCCCAGCAAGAAGAATTCCCAGAGTCGCATTCCCCGCAAGAGAAATTGCTTAGTGGAAGGAAAGTTCACCACGTCCTAATTTTTCATGGCAATTTTCTTTTTCGCTAACCAATCATACCATGCACTAAATGTAGTTTTCACTTGAAGGTACTCCACCGGCTTTACATCTTCAAAAAATAGTACAGAAACCTCGAATTCCATACCCTTTTGAGACGCTCAGAATATTTTATATTACTAACGGCAACTGTTTTAGATAAGAATAATGTTAAATGTTTGTCCCACAATTACTAGAACAAACCCTAACAAAATTTAGAATTTCCAAAATATCATATTGTAACACCCCCCTGCCAATTCAGGACACTTTAGAGAGCCCCTTTTGTTAACATTCCAGGAAAACACCACTGGCGTAGGGCACTGAGCATACCCGTTCGCGGCATAGGGGTAGCCGGGCTCTGCGCCTGTGGAGCCAGAACATCACGATGTGCAAAATGCTATTTAAAGGTTTCTTACAGCAGTTTCACCACCTCACGCAAAAACGTTTAGAGTAATAGTTGGTTTTGACATTTACGCGCGGTCACTAATTTAATATTAGAAATTTTAAACTGAACAAAGCCCGTTCCCAGGACTTCACGGCTGCCTGCGCTGAATCGTATTACAGATCGTATTTGACGGGCTTTGAAATTGAATTAGGGACCGCACATAACCATAACATATACGCTTTCTCGTGCACTACTTAAACATCCTTGTGTTCCTACGTGAGATCTGTGGATTCGTTCCAGAATATTTGGCCCCGATGACAGTGTGGTTGTAACTGTGGTGGGTACTTCCCTCGTTGCGACCATCTAGTTTTGTTTCTCAACGTTTGCATAGCTGGATCCTCTTGTGTGCCTTTCTAAATTTTGTTTAGGTGGTATTTCATGCCAGGTACAGTATGTAGGTCTACTGACAGCTTGATCTAGATAGATAGAACGTTTAATTGAATCAATATTTACAGTCTTGTGAACTGAATTACTATTGAATTTACAAAAGTGAAAATATATTTATATATATATATATATATATATATATATATATATATATATATATATATATATATATATATATATATATATATATATATATATATATATATATATATATATATACATATTGGCACGCGCAATTACCACGGTATTGCTTTTCCACGGTATTGCTTACATGTTTGTTCCATTTCAAATCATTGGTAACTATCATGCCCAGAACTTTTGCGGATTTTACAATTTCAAATGGCGTCCCGTTTATGTTTAGGGATTCCTCAGTAAATGGTTGCGTGGTAAAGTTTATCCTCAGCTCTTTACATTTACCAGGGTTCAGTTGAAATTTGTTGTCATTCGACCATTTATTTACTTCGTCTACTTTATCTGGCAGGGAACTAACACCATCTTTTGGAATAACTTCGGAAACCGAAGTATCGTCTGCAAATTTCCACAGGTTACGTTAGTCGGAGATTTTGTAATACATAGGTCATTTATTATTGCTAGGAATAGCCAGGGACCGATTTTCGTTCCCTGTGGAATACCGGCAGGAACTTGTAAAAAATTTGAATGCACAGAGTTTATTTTAACTCTCTGAGTTCGACCACGAAGAAAGTCAGCTATCCAATTTATAACCGTTGGCTTTATTTCATAATTCGATAGTTTTGCAACAAGTAGATTGTGGTCGACTAGGTCGAAGGCTTTGCGATAATCAAGTAGAGCGACTCTTACTGTAGAGCCCGTCCCATCAAGTGCATCTAGCCAGGTACGTATCATTGAAATAAGCGCAAGAGTCGTATTTGATCCTGGGATAAAGCCAAATTGCATTGGGTCCATCTTTCTTAGTAGTTTAGATTTTAATTCATACTCGATGATGAGGTTTTCTACAATTTTTGACAATGTTGAAGTTAAGGATATTATTGGGCTCAAGTCCTTGTTAAAATCAGTAATGTTTTTGGCTTTAGGAACAGGTGGCACATCTGCTATTTTCCATATACCCTCGGCACCTTGCATTCACGGAAGAATGCATTAAGTATATCCGTAATTGCAGGTGCCAGAATGTCAGAAAAGCTCTTTAGAACCCAATTGGGGAGTTCATCAGGACCGCTAGCTTTGGAAACACTGATTGCACGTAGTAGCCGCTCCACTGTTGTTTCTGAGACGCTAATTGGTTCATCATTGTCAGTCGATAGGTTAAAATCTTCAGGCAGCGGGGGGAAATCTTTCATGACACTGATAAAGGCCTCGTTAATCCTATTTCCTAAACCTTCATCACTGTCCTCAACGTCAAATCTAATTATGGATCTGAGGTCTGGCCGTGTTGATTGCTGACCACTGAGCTGTTTTACCTCTCGCCACCAGTCTTTAGGTTTCGAATCCAGAAGGTTGCCAACTTTTTTCTTATAGTATACTTTACGACAACGTTTTCTTTCCCGATTTACTTTGTTTCGCTGCAATTTAAACATGAAATTGTTACCTAAGGCAAATGCTTTTTGTCTTTGTAAAATAAGGCGTTTCAAATGGCTATAGTCATCCACGGACGATCATTTGAGCTGACTTTAATTGATCTTTCTGGCATTATGGTATTTAAACCATAATTTATTATTTCTGTAAATGTTGTTAGTTTGCCATCAGAAGATCGCAGAGATGACAATATATTTTCCCACGGGATATTTAAAAGGAAACGGCCAAGGCTTGCAGCATTGCTTGGTCTTTTATCCCGTACTTTTATAGGTTCGTTTTTTGGGGTCGTAAATTGACACGTTTCGTGGGAATCATAGTGATCGTGACATGGTCAGATAAGCCAAACGGTGGACCACTTTCTGCTGGATTATAAAAGTTTTCAAGATTGGTAAAAATCTGATCAAGAGTACATATCACATATCTTTGAGCACATAAGCACATATCTTTGTTGTGGGAAGAGTGCGAGCGACTGAAATATCAAACTCCCAACATCCCAAATCTCGTGGGCATGCATCACAGCCACTGTATCTCTCTTCATGAACAAATGTCGTAAACAATTTTTTTGTTCATCCTTAAATGAGAAAACGGGGCCTTTAAACTCTTTTAAGAAATGCAAAACACTCAAGAAACACGTGTCAAATGCATCCGCGATATTTGTTCGCAATCAAGCTATATATCAATGAACGATGATTTTAGCATAAATTAGCATATTTTTCAGTTTGAACCAATCAGATTTCTCGTTCTCTGAGAGAACGAGCAAAAACGGCAAAACATGGGGTTTCGTGCAGGCTCTTCTTTCCCTGAGAGCCACTACGCAGGCTATTGGTTTCAAGTAATTTATATTTTCTTCTGTCAAATTTAAATAAGTAGAATTCTTAGCACAAAGTGAAAGCCAAATAGTTGTTATAGTCTGTTATATCTTTACGCATGCACTTTCCTTATTGTGAATATTTCACCGTAATTTCTTTGAAAACAATTGGACTGGTATTAACTCTTAATATTATATTATTTGAATTGTAACTAGGGACCTTAAACAAAACCCTTATGGTTTCTAGAAGGTTCTTAGCCCTACTATTGTAAATATTTTTTACACGAAACTGGTTTATACATGGTGTAAAATAGCGTAGGCCACTATGCAAGCTATTTTACACCATGTATAAACCAGTTTCATGACCGGTCCCTTATGGAGAGCTTGTATTATACGGTCGTTTTCAAGTGAAGATGATTTATTTTTTATTTTTTTTTATTATTCTGTATATTAAACCTCATTTATTATAAAAGTTTTGTTAGTGCATGATTACAAATCATTCGTTTGTTTACATACTGGAATACGCTTGGCAATTACTATTAATTTTGAAACAATTGTCCTTCATTAAGATTCAACTAGTAAGCTGAATTTGAAATTTCAGAACAAGAGGTCATTCTTTATGAAATTGATCTAGTGACTTGCAAGAATGAAGCAATTCTATAGTTTATGCAGATATGACAGGTTAAGTCTGTGTAGTGGTTCTAGAACAGCACATGAAAGAAAACTTGCTGTTGTAGAAGAGAAACTGCTTCTTAAACACGCCTTTAAAATCATAATCAGTCTCAACAGACAGAATATTCGTTTCTCTGTAGAAAAGTGTAAGAAGGAAGCCATCATGACCGGGCTGGATAATTGAAGCAATTAAATGAAATGCCAAGGAGAATAATATTCTGTAATACAATAAATGAGATTGGGGGTGTAGTGACTGATTATTTGACGCTAAAGCTTGGTAAGGCAGCATATAGTCCAAAACAGCCCTAGGTGCAAGGAAACTGTTTGGTAGGCATATACCACTCGATCGCGAACTCGTGGGAACGGATTAAAAAGCGTGTACTGGATTCACTAAAGGTTGCCTCTTGTAAAATAAGAGTTGTTGTTGCATCATCAGCCCTCAGTATGGAAGTAAACTTTCCCAGTATAAAATATATCATAAACTTTGGACCAGCAAGAAGTATTCTTGAACAGCACCAAGAAATTGGTAGACCTGGCAGAGATGGACTACAAAGCCATGTCAGAATTACTTATCGCCCTGTCATACACTTCTGGGGTACAGTACTTTAACACTTTTAAATCCTCATCCAGGTTTAGAGTCGTACCCAAATGCATATCATCATTGCTACGGTTTAACATCTTTCCCTCTATTTCCCTTATAAAATGCAAAGTAGAATTGTTCTCTTCTATCTCCTTTTTCCATTTTTTAGGCTGCATTAGCCTGCGAACAGGCTCTCAAGCTGAATTGAGAGCCTGCATCGATGAGTAATGAATTTGAATATCCGCGTCGCAAATCGTGGCGCGAAATTCTCATTGGTCAGATGCTATAATTTATATGTTTCCGCTGAGCTCTATATATGTCAACTGCTGAAGTACTATGCATAAAAAACACATTAAATGGTCAAATTTGATTTTGGCCATCTTATCTCAAAGCACGAAATGTTCTGATTTGAGAAAACAGTATTTAAAACATTTGAACTTTTGCTTGAATATTTCATATTTCGAAAAACAGTATAAACTGTACGGTTTAAATTTAGTTTGCACGGTCTAAATTTAGTTTGCACGAAAGTTGTAAACAACACCATATAAGGATAGACATTCCATATTTGGAAAAACGAACGTTACGGGGCAGATATTCAAATTGATTAGTCATCGATGCAGGCTCTCAATTCAGCTTGAGAGCCTGTTCGCGGGCTAAGGCTGCATAGTCAAAGTTTTCACCCATTTTCTCGTGTATATTTAGGACGCTATCAGAAGACATGCAACTTCCCAGACGATTCAAACATTGTACAATTAGTCAATTCCACTGTGAAATAAAACTGTGTAAATTCTATAGGCAACTGCTGACATCGTGGGGTTAACAACCCTTGCAATATATACCTGATGCAGCCAGAGCAATTGCATTAGTTGTCGCAATTTCATTGCAACTTGAAGATGCGTTGCAAGCGCCTGTGACTATAGCATTATATATGGGACATTCCATTGACACTTCCTTGCAGAGGACCCCGTTCGAGTCGAGTATATATGGTTTTGTAAACTTTATACAATTATCAAAATTACTGTAATCTACTGCTGACTATATTGTTGTACTCCAGTGGAAAAAACAAGTACTGGCGAGTAGCAATTTCACTTCTGGGTCAAAGTTACTCTTTACAACAACATGTTATGAAGGATATGCGATAACTACTTTTAATTGAGAATTCTTACTTGTGTCTAAATCGTCGTTATACAGTTTCGATAAAAGTGTGTCTTCATTTGATTTCTGTCTGTTAGTCGCGTCTAGCTCTTTCACGAGCGTGTTCGTTTTCATCGATGACAAAAAGACTTTTTCCTGATGATTTTGTATTCGAAGAGGATTGCCGTGAATGCTTGCGAACAGGACTTGCTCTCTCTGGAGTGACGGCATCAGACACCCTTCTCTTTCCTGCATCGCTCGAAACTTTAGCCTGCACATCATGGTTGACCGCTGTCGAAACTAATTTGTGCTGGCTGCTAATTTGTGCTGGCTGCAAGCTACTTGTGAGGACGATGGAGACTGCTCCGAAATCAGCAATCACCTCCGCAAAACTTTCCTTCCTTTGACTAAGTTTGTACGATTTAAGTACGATTTGAAAGATAATTGTGTTTCGTACGTTAAACGTAACGACTTCTTACACACACGACAATATTCGTTTTGCACGTTTCCTTTGGAAATTTATGTTTTCTTTAGCCGACATCCATACATTAATATATCATTTCATTTTGACAAGTAGTAAATTTGCAAACGTAAGCACTGAGGAATCTATATTATTTCATTTTGACAAGCAAATTTGCAAACGTAAACAATCTTCGTGATTGGCCAATTTTCACATCTGTTGAAAGTGGGCGTAGCCCGCAGGCTTTGTGGGCGGGAATGGAAAAATAGTAGATCTCGTGCAGGCTCTCCTTTCTTTCCCCTTTTTCTTTTCCCTTCTGTTCCGTCTCCTTCCCTCTCCTCCCCTGAAAGCCGCTACGTAAGCTAGGTGAAAAAATCGTCTTCTACACAGAAATTGTCTATGTTCCTACAGCTTTCAGGAATAGCTCTTTTTATTCATCTTAGAAAGCAACAGGTAATTTGGTAATAAGATCTATATAATAACTACAGTGAAATACGCAATTTGATTGGTCAATACCCGTGCAGAATCAGACAATCCTGCACAGAAATGTTTAAAAGGCCTTCGCGCGAGCTTTTCAAAATGCCGCATAACAAAAACATTTTAACGTGTGAAGTTAACACAATAGTAAAAGAGAAACAAGTCAACAAAAACAGGGAACAAAGGTTTGCACTGACTACTGAAAATAAAGTTGACGAGTTGGTCTCAAATGCCCAAGCACAAAGCACAAAAACTAAGTCAGTTTTAATTCGCTGTGAGGTAAACGATAGTTTATTTAACATTTTCAATTCACAAAAAAATAGTAAAACAATTTCATGAAAAAATACATATCTGTAACATTATTCACAAATTGTCGTACCGTCGAAAATCTTTAGACCAATTCCATGTCAAGTACAACAACTCTCACCTCGCAATACTCCATTCAGATCGAGTATCTTCCAAACTTCGGATCTCTGTTCAGCGGTTGTTCCATCGGAAATGTCAATGTTAATTTCAAAAGCAGCACTGAACTGGAACTGTTATTTTATTATATCATATTTACATGTAAAGCATCGCTGTATATTTCGTGGTTGCTTTGATTTTTTGAAGCAGTTTAAGAACCCTCGGGGGGGGGGGGGG